GGGGGCGCCGAGGAAGCGGCAGCGCGGGGCAGCGCTTCGCCCCGCACACGGGCTCTGCGGCTTTCGGGTTTGAACGTTGTGAGTGAGGGCAAGGCTTAGGAACTCCGTTCCCTAGATTTTTAAATACGTAAAATTTACGCTGGGGCGCAGTAACGCCTCATATTCCGGGCGTGACACACAGCAGATGAGAAAGTGCGAGTCCCCCGGAATCGAATCCGAGGCGGGTCGCAGCCGCTCGTAGTCGCGCGCTGGGTGCTCGAAGCAGGCCGTTTGTATCAAATATTTGCCTCTGTCGCATTTAGACCCGTGAACTTTTGGACACCAACCGATCGATTTTGTATTGGTAAGCTGAAACTGGTAGTTGCTGCAAAAAGTTTTAAGCATAAAATGTTAGGAAAACCCTTTCCTGGATTCTATAGGCTAGCGTAAAGCAAAAGGTGGAAAATCTGTCATTTCCTTACAAACCAGTTAGAGCATTTTAACCAGTGTTTGAACTTTGTTAAAAACCAGTAAGGGTGGAAATTTTACTTACCTTGATGCGTAATTTAACCTCACTCGTAGAATTCAAATAAGTAGGTTCTTGGCTTTCCTTTCTGTGGGCTTGTACTGGTGCAGGATGGTGTGTGCTGGACGTTAACACGACCCTCCGAGCTGATTTTCAAGCTGCCGCTTTAGAAGCCTGCACGGAAGATCCCCAGCCTGACAGTGGCCTATTGTAATTGCTTCTGATAAGTACCACGTTTGCGTGACAAGATTAGCTTCGCTCGTTTGTTTAGAAATACAAGGGAAGATCGCTGTTGGCTGGCATGGTCGTGTGTAGGAGGGTGGGGGTTCGGACCTACTCTTCTTTACATCTCATTTGGGCAAGCAATTGCAGAGGCTGCTACTTATAATTTAAGGAGTGGACTGGTTATGAAGTGAAACGTTGTGTGATGTTGTTGCAGGGATATCATCCCCCCAAATCGTTTTTTGGCAAGATAAGCAGTTTAGTTTTATGGTCGTCCTTTAAGTCAGACACTGGATATTACAAATATATTTTAATCTGAGGACTAGGTACTAGGCTAATTACGATAGTGACAAGATGTAGTAGTTTTTATTTTTTATTTTTTTAAGATGTAGTAGTTTTTAAAAGAGCCTTTAAGCATAAAATATTTCTGAGGTGTACCAAAAAAATTTTCGTAGTTCTCTGGAATTCTAAAATTGAAAACCTAACAGATGTAGACTATTCTAAGTCTGTTCTAATTGACATATTCTATTTCATAATAACAGCTATTATCACTGTTACTCTTAGACTGTTGGGTACTTCTGTTATGTACCACAGCCAGGAACAGGTTAGGTGCTTTATAAATCAAATCTCAAATCATCACTACACGTGTTGGATAACTATCATGCCTACATGAACTCTGAGAATCTGGTTTATGATCATGTAATTAAGTCACTAGGCTGGTGATTTAAACCGTGACCTGAACCCAAAGCACATGCTCCAGTGCCTCTGTGTGTCTTCGTAAATGCACGTCTCTGGATCCCATTTGGGGATTAATTTTACTTTAAAGATGCCTGTAGGTGCTGTGTTTTGTTGTTGTGAGCTATGCAGAAATATTTCTGTCCTTCTTTTAGAACTACTGTACTGTCTTGCCTCATTACTGTCTAGATCACATAGCATTTTTTTATTAGCCACTTTCATCAAAGCATTGATGAATTAAGACTTTGCTGAGTTATTTGCAGGAATATGCATGTGCCCTTTATTACAGGGGCAAATGTATTAAAGCCCCATTTTCTCACTATTATAGAATTCTTCATACCTCATGGCAAGAAATGAGAGAAGTTTGTTGGAAGTTGTGTTCAAAGCAGTGTGCTTGATGTCGTGAGCTGAGAAGGCTTCTTATTCAGTAGTTCTTCCTGCTGGCTGACTTTCATCCTGTCCCAGATGATACTGCCGGTTTAGCGTCCTAGCACAGATTTAACTTTGCTCTTGCTTTGTTGAAAAAAACCTACAGCCCCCCCCCCATGGTATAAATAAAAGACCAAATATGTGCTTCAGCCACATATTCAGGTATCAACTGGGTACTGTTCTACCTTCTCAGATGTCTTTCATGCTTCCTAGCTCTTTATGCTGATCCTGGAACATGGTCTCTACTTTCCCACTTTCCTGCTTATGCTTGACCGGTTTCCCTAGAATAGAATCCTTTCCAGTTGTGCAAGATCTGCCATTCTTCAAGGTGCAGTACAGATTTCCTTGATTCCAAAAAGCTTTCCCTGGTCCATTTTACACTTAGAGTTTATTCTTCTCATACCACCTCATAACATTATTGAACTGAATAAGGTTTACTTTCCTACACAATGGTGATATCTTTTGAAAAGACAGGATCATATTCATTATATTTTTCCTATGAAGAATTCTAACCACAAACTCTCTAGGTACCCTTCTTGTTGTTTTAAACTTGGGGTTTCTGCTTAAAAATGTGTTTGAAATTATTTTCATTTTTTTCTGGTTTTTATTGGTACATTTCAGATATACCTGGTGATAACATTCATCATAGGGAATTTGTACCTGTACGTGGTATATCTTGCTCCTTCTCCCCCCCGCCATTTTCCCTTTCAGCCCCTCTTCCTTTGTCTACCCACAAAAAGCTGTGTTTCTGTTTCTTCTTGTATTTTTTTTTCTTGCCCCCCGCCTTGTTCCCCTTCTCATTTGAACATTTTCTTTCCATTTCCCAATTATCTATTGTACATTTTGGTCCTGGTTTACACTTTTGGTTTGTCACACTAGAGAAACTATGTGATATTTACATGTATGTCCAATTGATTTCACTTAAAGAGTATGGTCTCAAGGTGCACTCATTTAACTAGAAATGTCTCAGGCTTATCCTTCTTTATGGCAGAGTAGTACTCCATTGTATAAAAAAACCACATCTTCTTTAGCCATTCACCAGTTGATGGGCATTTGGGCTGTTTCCAGGATTTAGCTGTTACAGACTGTACTGCTATAAACATGGGTGTGCATGTATTGCTGTGGTATGGTGCCTTGAATTCTTTCAGGAAGATACCAAGAAGGAGAATAGCTGGGTCAAGTGGAACCTCTAGTTTTAGTTTTTTGAGGAATCTCCATGCTGATTTCCACACTGGTTGCACCAGTCTGTGTTCCCACCAACAGAGAGGAAGGGTACCTTTTTCCCCTACAACCCCGTCAGCATTTGTTATTGGTTGATTTCTTTATAACAGCCTTTCTTTCTGGTGTGAGATGAAATCTCAGCATTGTTTTAAGTTGTGTCTCACAAATGACTAGTGATGTTGAACATGTATTTATTTACCATTTCTACTTACTCATCTGAGAAGTATGTATTCATTTCAGATGCCCATTTTTGGATTGTATCTTTAAATTTGGGAGTTCTGGGGGTTTTTTGTTTTTTGTTTTTTTTAGTTCTTTATATATTCTAGATAGTCCTTTGAGGAACAGCTGGGAAATTTTTTTTTTCCACACTGTGGGCTGTCTTTTCACTCTGTTGGTGGTTTCTCTTGCTGTGCAAAAGCTTTTTAATAAGGTAAGATCCTAGTTGGTGATTCTTTGTGATAGTTCCTGTGCAATCCGGGTTTTGTTCAGAAAGACTATGCCTACACTAATGTCTTCAAGAGTTCTATCTGTTCTATCTTCCAGCAGATTTAGTGTTTCTGTTTTAATATTTAGATCTTTGATCCATTTTGACTTTAGTTTAGTGTATGGTAGAAAGTATAAGTCTAGTTTTAATCTTCAACATGTGGAAAGCCATTTTTTTCCAGCACCATTGATTAAAGACGCTGTCTTTCTTCCAGTGAATGTGTTTGGCTTCTTTGTCAAAGATAAAGTGGCTGAGTGTGTCTGGAGTTGTTTCTGCATCTTCTAATCTGTTCCATTGTTCCTCAGGTCTTCTTTTTTTGCCAGTACCATGCTGTTTTTATCACAGTAGCTTTGTAGTATAATTTCAAGTCGATTGTGATGATCCCTGCCTTGCCTTTGTTGCCCAGAATTACTTTTGCTATTCTAAGTCTCTTCTGTTTCCAAATGAATTTTAGAATTGTTTTCTCTAATTCTGTGAGGTATGTTATTGGTATTTTGATTGTGATTTCATTAAGTCTGTATAACAATTTTGGAAGAATGGCCATTTTGACACTTTTGGTTGTTCCTACCCAAGAACAAGGTGAAGTTGATTTTTTTAAAAGGCTTTCTGTTAATAAGAACTGATTTATTGTCATTTACTAAATGAAAAAATAGTGCTTTGTAATAAGGACCACTTGTATTTCACCACTGAGTTTTTAAATGAATGTATATCAACTCATCAAAGCCAATGGCTGACCAACATTGGTATAGTATTCCCTTCTTATCCATGGGGAGTACTTCCCACATACCCAGTAAAAATTTGAAACCTTGGTTAGCAAATTAGGTGCGGTAGGAAATTAACAAAAATAGTAAAATAGAACAGTTATAGTAATATACTACAATAAATAGCCAGGATCTCCATCCTTGTACTTTGAAACCATTGTTAATTAAAATTAAGTAAAAAGGGTTATTTGATGATAAGGACTGTGATCCCTTGACAGTTCATCTCATAACCAATATACAGCTGAATATCTAATGAGCAGATAGTATATACAGCATGGATACAGTGGGCACAGGTCTGATTTGCAGCCTGGGTGGGACTGTGAGAGATTTCATCATGCCGGCCAGAATGGTGCACAACTTAAATCTTATGAATTACCTATTTCTGGAATATTTTCTGACTGAAGTTGACTGAGTAACTGAAACTGAGAAAAGTGACATCACAGATATTGGGAGAGTAGTAGTAATACTGTAACAGTAAATGGCAGTGGGGCATGTTCTTTGGTGGCTTGGTAAGTTTTTCGCAAAGCCACGTACTCTCCATTATTTTCTAATACTTGTTCCCCATTTTTTTTCTACCATAGTAATGTGTTTATAAAACTATTTCAAATTTATTTTTTGAGCTATTAATTATACTATGTTTTCCAATAATTTATGTAAACCCTAAAATGATAATAAAAAAATTTTTTTAATAGGGCTTTTTTATCCTTCTTTTTTATTTACTTATTTATTTATTTTGGTGCTGGGAATTGAACTCAGGACCTTGTGCTTGCCAGGCAAGTACTGTGCCACTGAGCTATATTCCCAGCAAAGGATAAAATTTAAATACATGTTTACTTATTAACAAAAATATTATAGATAAGAAAGAACAGTGATATAAATACATATATATTCAGGGTTGTTTTATAGGTGTTGGGCTTAATTTGAACCTTTTTGGGGGAGTTGTTGACATTTTCTTGTAATCTTGTGGTTTTGTAACCTGAATAGTC